ATCTTGCATTATTCCCTACTGCATCGTACACAACATCGATATTCCACTTGTACAGGATCTTTTCCTGTTTGTGTGGATACAGATTGTCCGACAGACTTGCGTCCGGCATACTTGCGTCGAATCCTGACATCGCGCACGATCAAAGTCCGATCGCACGTGTCGAAAACCTCGTACTTGAATAGTTTCGTTTGGAACGTAAAAACTCATATTTCGTCATATCCCAACAGGTACTGTTGGGCCAGATGTTGTCTCGTCGGTGAATTCTTTGATTAGGGGCCAAAAGGGGCTGATCATTGGGGAGCCATGCTTTGTAGTGGTTGGTCTTGGTATGTACCACTTGCAGTGATACTGTCCTTTTGTTCTTGCTAGTTTCTCGTTGGTCTCCTCCATGTCGATTTGTATCACGTACCAGTTGTTCCACCCTGATGTGCCGTCTTGATGGGCTATGACAAATAATTTGTCCTTGGATTGTGTGGTTCGTTTGTATAAGCTCTGTAGATTGAGTTCTTCTGTGATGGTTTCTGTGGTATGGACCTGTCTGGTTTGGTTGGCTCCTTCTGTATCTGTTGGTGGTACGTCTTTGTTAATCGGCCGAGGCTGCGTGCGTTGGATAGCGTCCAGTATGGATGGTGTAGGGGTGTCGTCTTCTCCTTTGTCTGATAAATCTTCCGTTGGCTCAACTTCTTTGTCCCAAATGTCTTTGATTGGCTCAAATGCGTTTTCTGTGTCTGTCAGTGTTGTCGTGTATTTACCAAAATCAACCAGTCCTAGATTCATTTCCAGGGGGCTGTGTGCTAGCGGGCTCCTCATGTTTGCTAGTCTTATATCTGGTGTGTCCACTCGTTTGTGTAGTATTATCGGCGATGGGATCTTGTGCATTCTGAATGCTGATTCTTTGATTGGGGTTGATCCTCGCTTCTTTAGCATGGTGCTTGTCCCTGGGATCTTTTGTAGTCTGTATGAGTCTTCTGACGCTTTCTCGATGACTCTATAGGGTCCTTTTGTTCTTAGCACCAGTTTTGCTGGTATTCCTGCAGAGGCGTTTGATTTTACTTGTTTCCGCACCATAATAATGTCTCCGATTTCAAATTTCCGTCGCGTTCTGGTTTGATTCTTGAGCATTCGTTGGTGTTCCCTTTGTTCCTCATTGAGAAGTTAAGCAGTTCCTTTTGTCTTCAGAAGAGTGGCAACATTGTCTCGATGTGCTCTAATGTGTTCTGTCCTGGCGTTTGCTGGTGTCGTGTCCTGTTTTTCTGACGCGCCTCCGATATTGACAGTGCCGCTGCTGCGTTGTCTAGTGGGAATTTGAAGTGTCGTGCCACTGCTGCGAATGCTCGTTGGATATCCGTGCCATCTACTGGGGCTGCGTTCCATGCGTATGTTCCAAACATGGTGTTCATTGCTCATTCTTTGTATGTGTTCATGTCGGCTGCTCCGATTCGTTGCACTTTGTTGAGGTATTTGTGGAATCTTTCACATAGTATTCCGTCGTGATTTTCCAGACTGACCGTGTGGTATACAATTCCGATCGTGTCGCATAGGGCTGTAAATTGATCTTTGTTTTCGCTGCCTTCGTCGATGAGGATCAATCGTGGCAGGCCTCTGACGGTGAAGAATTGCAAGAATGCTATTCTGGCCATGTTCCCTGAGTTCATGGAGCTGATGAATGCAACTGTGGCGCAACCAGTCATGTTGCAAACGTAAGTGACTACTCCTTTGTTTGTGAGTGTCTTCCTCAAAGTTGTGGATAGTGTGATAGCGTTCTTTGTTGATCCTGGCGACCAAACGTCCATGCAACATACGTCAAATGGTTCTTCTATTGGGGTCTGTTGTAGAATCTTTTGGTTTTTGTGGCTCGACGCGTTGGCTGCGTTGCAATGTCCGCATCCTAGGACTGCTTCTCTGATATCCTTTGCCATCCCGGGCCACCAAAACCTTGCGGCTATCCTGTAATACGTCTTGTGGAACCCTACGTGTCCTGCCATTGGTGATGCGTGGT